CTTTGAAATGTATTGAGACTAATTTTTTGTCCTGCATACATCTGGCTTGGGGAATGCTATACATGCACTTGGAATGAACATGTGCTCTCAGGTTTGGGGTGCAGTGGTCCCAGCCAGCATTTGTGACAGGCGCCTACTCCTCCCGGTATAGAGCAGAGCAGTATTGCTGCAGCCCACCCAGGAGGGGAAGGAAGCTGTAGGTGTGGGGGAGAGGGCACGGCCAGGCTCTGACCCCAGCAGGCAGACGCTGTGCCAGCTTGTTCTCCATGTGGCCCAAATAAGAAGAAAAGGCCAGGAACTCTGAACAGACCTCTGAGGCCAAGAGAAAAATGTCTGGGGATTTGCGGGAGGAGGGAAATGGACCCATGAAAATGGGGAGAGAAGCTGTGGGCTGGAAAAGTCTTTCTCCGCAACTGCTCCCTCTCTTCTCCTCAGGCATTTAGCAAATAATTATCCGAGACTTGTTCTTCCTAGTTGCTGTTGAGATGCGCGGATATAAGAATTCAGCATTGCCCCCGCCCTCCCAGACTCTGCAGAGAATGACACAGGTGATTATGCTGCAGAGTAAGGGCCATAATCGGGAAGGTATGTGCATATCAGAACAGTCCTTGATTTGTTTCTCCCGCTTGGTCAGTGGCACAGATTTACAGGTAAAACAGAAGGTTTCCACAGGGAAGCTGAAAGGTGGAGACAACACAGTCCCATCTGTGAGCCTCTCAGAAGCCTGTAGGAAAGAATTTCATGAAGGGCAAGGAAATGTGAGTTCCTGGGGCCCAGAGCCAGGACCAGAGAGCTTTGGAACGTGTTTTTTTTTTTTTTTTTTGGTGCCACGGACCCTTTTGAGAAACTGGGGTGGCTCTGGATGCCTTTGTAGAATAGTGCTTTAAAAATGCACGTAATAAAACACTGAGGATCGCAAAGGACACCAATTATGTGGAGATGCATTCTCTGTATGGACCTCCTTCCTCCTCCCCGGGAGAGGAGGTCTGGAGGTTTATATGGATTTATAGAATGGTTTGCAGACAAGGAACAAAAATCTTTTTCTGAAGTTGGTGATTCTGTGTTTATGGAATTGGTCACCTCCACGGAGGGCCTGACTGAGTATCCTCCTTTCCAGTAGGTTCAGGCAACTCCATGTAAGACTGGCTTCACCTGCCTTTGTTTTTTCACAGGATTGTGTGCCCAGGCTTCTGCAGAATAACTGCATTGATGCAGCTGAATTTTCCACCTGTTCAGTGTCCCTTGTGTTCCCTGGGTGAAAGGAGTATACTGACCTAGCAAGGAAGGAGGGTGGTGGAGAAAGGCGAAGGCTGACTTTGATGGGGAGGGAGAAGCCATGCGGCTGGGCGATCTTCGGGAGCCTTTGGGATCACTTGTTAGGTTTGGCAGCTCTAGTCTGGAGCATTTCACCCAGAAGGATGAGGGACTGCATGGGAGCTGAAGAGAAGCTGGGGTTCAGAGAGGGTGCACGCCATACTCTAGGAGGTGGCAGAGCCTGTGGCATCTGGGAGACCAAACACCAATTATGAGGGAACTGCTGGCAGCCACTCTGCTCCTGTCTTCCATCCTCGTAACTTACCACCAGGGATCCATATTTTACCTGTGAGACAATAGGACCTGAGCATAGTTAATCCAAGATCTCCCAGCTCCACTTGGAAGGGATGGAGCCAAGATCTGATGCTCATGACGCTGGGCTCTGAGCTCAGTCTCTCCCATGGCCACATGCCCAGCTGCCTCCTCACAGCATGGAGGCCATGGTGTAGCCGTGGAATGGGCTGCCTGGGTTCAAATCTCACCCCACCGTCGAACAGTACAATGATCTGAGGTGAAGTTCCTGACCTTGAGCTGCCTCATCTAATCTATAAAATGGGATGATTTTGTTACCTACCTCAAGGACTTTTCTTGATGATTTAAGAGACAGTGCATTTAGAGCCTCAGCACACGTGTCTGCCATGTAAGTGCTCCGTGAACGTCGGTTGCTGGTATGATCAGCCCAGCAGGAGGAGGAACGTCATGGGGCCTCTCGTATGCAAGCCTCCTGGACTCCTCTGACCTGCTCCCCTGGCAGGCATTCATGAGTTTGTTTTTCTGGTAAGAAGGTTGCCCTGGTGTTCCCGAGTGATCTGGCAGGGCTGAGACTTTTAGACAAGCCTGCACACCCTGCCAAGTTCAGCATTTGCCTTGGCAGCCTGCTGGGCCTGTGCCACTGTGAGAGAACCACGACCCTTCAGCCTGCTTTCTGGCTTGGAAAGCCTGACCTTTATTCAGAATAATCCTCCGGTCTCCCGTGTCAATACACACCGGCGCCCCGACTCCCTCCCCAAGCGTGTCCTTCATTTTCTTACCTGGGGAGAGAGGGTCTCCCAGACAGCTGCTTATCCTTCATCTCTCTGTCCAGCTCTCTGTCCCCAGTGGGGTTTCTCAGACAGTAGCAGGTGCGCAGTAGGGACATGGAGGTGTCTGGGAACAAGGGTTCTGGCCTAAAATGGCTTGGGTTTGATCCAGGCTGGCTACTCAGTGCAGAACAGAACAGTTGCTCTGTGCTTCAGGTTCCCTGTTGGCATGACATACAATATCACACATCTGTACACTTACATGTACGTATAGTGCATGAGAGCTTTCCATCCGGTGGTGAGGATTTGGTGGTTAAACAGGATAACTCATGGAAACACATCACAAGTGCCCAGTGTTAATCATTAATTATTACTAATCAATGCTATTGGGAATAGCCATCAAAGGAAAAGTCAGGGTGCGTCCTCAATCGAGGTTTTGGGCCTCTGGGTCTCAGGCTCTGCATTGTGAAGCAGGACTGTGAGGATCAGAATGCAAGAGGGGCTTGAGAAGACAGGGGTCCCAGAGGCCCTGCCTGCTCAGCCCAAGCCTGAGCTTTAAGTCTGGAGTGCACCTGCCCCCTCCATCTTACCTGTTGAGGCTGGAGGGAGGGCTTGGGGGACCCTCCCAGCACTAGGGACTGCAGACTTGCAGGCTGAGACGAGCAGCTGACAATAGTTCCTCAGTGACGTTGAATTTTATTTTTCTCCTTCCTTTTGAAAGCCCTTTCCAACATCTTCAGAAAGCACAGCCTTGTGTTCCTAACCTAAGGCACTGGCTTCTGTGTAACTGTCACAGCAGAATGACTCCCAGGAGGCCCCAGCTTCCTGGACCTCAGCCCCTTGCCCCAGCAGGTGTCTCTGGCCTTCCTTGGGCCAGCCAGCCAGCCCACCTTCCCACTGTGTGCGGCAGCTGGCCACTCGCAGCCTTCCGGGACCCTCACAGCCCCCCTCACCCTCACCCTCCTCCCTCACCCTCACAGTCCCCCCTCACCCTTTCACAGCCTTCCAGCCCCCTTTCTGGGACCTTGCTCCCAGGATGCCCCATCTCTGATGACTCAAATGCTGCTCAGTCCAAAATCTTCTTCCACTGAGCTTTTCCCATTGGCCCTTTTTTGGAACAATAAACCTATTTTTCAACCTTAAAATCTCTCTTTTTCAGCTTTGTCAATTTGGTTCATTTTAGTTATTTGCTGCCGGATTTCGTAAGAAAGATCTCACCCTACAATGCCTAAGCAGCTGAGACAATGGAAAGAGCATGGTTTCCTTCCACAACTTGTTCTCTTGTCTGTAAAAATGGGAATAACCATTGCAAACAAACAACCCTCAAAGCTGTAAAGAGGCTCTTGATATGAACACCTCCTACCACAGGATTTTGCACATTTTAAAGGATCAGTCAATGAATGAATGACTGAATGAAAGCTTTCGCAGTTCTCCTTTTGCTGCCGGATTTCGTAAGAAAGATCTCACCCTACAATGCCTAAGCAGCTGAGACAATGGAAAGAGCATGGTTTCCTTCCACAACTTGTTCTCTTGTCTGTAAAAATGGGAATAACCATTGCAAACAAACAACCCTCAAAGCTGTAAAGAGGCTCTTGATATGAACACCTCCTACCACAGGATTTTGCACATTTTAAAGGATCAGTCAATGAATGAATGACTGAATGAAAGCTTTCGCAGTTCTCCTGGCAATTGTCACACACAGACAGGCTTTTGCTACGATCCACATGCCTCTAGGAATTCTACACCAGTAGCTTGCACACCTAGATTCTGGGTTAAACTCCCAGGCCTGCCACTTGAGCAGCTGTGATGAAGGCATGTGCCGAACCTTCCTGCACTGCTGTGACATCATCTAGGGCAGGAGTCAGCAAACCATGACTTGCGGGCCACATCCAACCTACTGCCGCTTTTGTGTAGCCACAAAGGAAGATGGAACATTACATTTTCAAGTATTTTCTACAATTTACATTTTGAATGCACATTTTAAATGGAAACATAAGCTAAATGGAAGTGTTAATAATTTTGAAAACAAAATCAAAAGAAGAATATTTCATAATGGGTAAACATTATAGGAAGTTCAGACTTCAGTGTGTATGAATAAAGTTTTATCAACATACCACCATCATCATTTATGTGTTGTCTGTACAGCTGCAGGCAGCGTGTACAGAGCTTTTACTCTGTAATGGCATATTTGAGGGCTCGTTACAGAGACTGAGTGGCCCACAGAAAAAAAAATATCTACCACCAGCCCTTTGCAGAGAGGTTTGCCAATCCCTGGTCTATGAAACAGGAGCAGCCTATGGCCCTGTGTGTGGATAAAATGTTCACTGGGTGTCCAGCACCAAATGGAAATTCAAGAAAACGACATTCTTCCGCTCTGTTTACCTTCCTCGCTTAATCTCTTTTTATTTTATAGAGAGTTCTTTTATTTCGGGATCCACGCCACCTAAAACCATAAGAAGAGGCCGGCAGGCTGACTAGCGCTCTTCCCCGCACAGACGGGGCCTTCCGAGAGCCGGCTCCGTCCTCCTGCTCTTTGGCCTGCCCCAGGCTGAGCTGCGGGGCTGCTGCGGGAGGGCCTGGGGTGGGACCGCTGCGTCCTCTGCCATGTCTGGGTCCCAGGTTTGGTGGGGGTAGTTCTGGGGGTGCTGCCCTAGCACTGCATCATGTCTTGCTTCGGGTGTTGGAATTGGGGTCCGTGATGCACAGAAGGTGCCTGCAGCCACTGTTCAGCTGGGCTCAGGATGACTGCTTGGTGAATGCAGCCTCTGGTGTAGCATTGAGGGTCTTGATTTTAACTGGAGGGATGGTGTGGAGTCGTGGATAGAACTGAGATTTGGGCTCTCGTCTGGAATCCCAGCTCTGACCCCCACAATCTCTGGGATGTTCGCTCTTTGTGCCTCTTTTCTTCATCTGAAAAGTGAGGGTGATAGTTCTCCTAGGGAGGTGTATAGACAGGGTTCCCCATCATGTAAGCTCAGGGAGAAAAAGGTTTTATTTTTTCCTGACTGAAGGCCCATGCCTGGAACAGTATCCTGCCTGTGGTAAGCACACAGCAAGCGCCTATTATTGAAAGGAGATAAAATATGGGGAGAGCCTGCCACGTGATCAATTCTCATCACGTAGTGATACATAGATAAATTAGATGCACACACACACATACACTGATATATAGATCAATTCTCATTATTCTCCTATCACTGTGCCTGTTCTAAACCAGGAATCAGCACACTATGGCTCACACACCAAGGCTGGCCCACCACTTGCTTTTGGAAATAAAGTTTTATCGCAACACAGCTACATGCATTCATTTATATACTGTCCAGGACTGCTTTCCTGCTGCAGTGGTGGACTTGAGCAGGTGTGAGAGAAACATGTAGCCCGCAAAGCTGAAAATATATACTCTCTGGTTTTTTACAGCTAATCTTTGTGGCTCTTGCTCTGCAATCAAGGTATCCTTGTCGTTCGGTGACCACAGATTTCATTTTCCCCTGATGGCAGGTGTGCGGGCAGTTACAAGTTGAAAACAGCAGCTAGCTTGAGGGACAGATTCTCAGTGATGTCTCAGATATTTAGTTTTTCTTTGACGTAATTGCCCCACTCTGTTCCAACATGGTCAGAACCGACTTTTCCGTGCCCTCCTGTTCTCATGTATAAGGTGGTGTTACTTTCATTTCTGTGTAAAAAGAACCTCAGCCACCTGTCCATTGCTCGCATATTCATTAGGGATCGATTGGCCATGTAGCTGCAACAAGTCTAGCCTAGGGAACCACTCAGGAGATGAGTCAAGATAAAAGATACTGCTTACTGTATGGTATCAGTGGCTAGGATGCCGACAAGGAGCAGGAATCTGGGGCACAGAGAGTGAGCAGGTTTCTGACTCACTCTTCCCATGTGATGAACGGAATGACCTTGGACACCTTAGGGAGCCTCAGCTTCCATTTTCCAATCTGTAAGATAGCAACAATTATGCTCACCATGATAGGTTGTTGTGAAGGTTAAATAAGATAATGTATCAGGTACCCAAAACATAGTAAATACTCAGCCATTCTTACAATAAAATTGGTCCTTATTTCTCACTTGGGGAGAGAGACTCAGAGATCTCTGCTACAGGCTGACACTCCTGTGATGGTCAGGGATCACAGGTAGGAGCCTCACGGGACCTTGGTTTCTGTGAGGTGCTCACTGAGATCTTCCTGGACTTAGCAGAGTTTATCAAGGGCTCCCTGTCCACTGTGCCAGGGGAGCAGTGTGGGTGGGGCCACTGCCATGCTACCATTTTATAGTCAGGTCTTTCTCTTCCTTTCCCTCCAGGAGGACAGAACCGTCCAGGTTCCCAGGTTCCTAAGCCCCTGTGAGGGGACCACCCAGGAGCCATGGAAGGCTGAGTTCACCAAGGCATGTGCATCCTTGTGACTGGGACTGGAGCCCAGCTCTGAGCTGGCAAAGGTGCCAGCTGCCAGCCAGGGTTTCCAGGTGTAGAGCCTGGTCCCTTCTGTGTTCTCCAGGGCTCAGAACAGCACCTGGAACATAGTAAATGCTGCACGAATGTTTGCTGGAAGAATGAATGGTCACCCCTGTGAATGACACCTACCTGCTGTCCCCAGACACTCCAGATACCAGTGGGTGAGCCCCAGGCTCAGAGCGAGAGTGCCACAGCAGCCCTGCCAGACCCTCCCCAGGCCTCCAGTCTTGTTGCATTTCCTCTGCCTGGACCTGTTCTGGCTCCTCGTCACCCCTGGACCCATGGCTCTTCCCAATTCAGTCCCTAGCGCAGCCCTTCCAGGTGCAGTAAGCCAGGCAATGGGCCCCTGCCCCCACCCACGTGACCTCCACGGTCAGCCTTAGTCTGATCAGGGATTTCTAAACTATAGTCAGTGGGCCAGATCTGGACAGTGGTCTGTTTTGTAAGGACCTTGAGCTTTTACATTTCCAAAGGGTTGAGAAATTAAAAACAAAACAAAACAGGGTGACAGAGACCCTATGGCTAGCCTAGCCTAAAATATTGTCTCTCTGGCCCTTTACAGAAAGTTTGCTGACTCCTGGTCCAGATGGTCTTGCAGGATGAGCAGCGGTGCTGACTGTGTGCCAGGCACCCTTCTAAGGCTGAAAGCGCACAGACTCATCTCATCTCTCTTGTCAGCACCGAAGCAGGTATGACCTTTGTCCTAGACCATTGTGCTAGAGATGGGGAAGCTGAGGCACAGACAGGCTAATTCACTTGCCTGAGAATCTAATAAGTGGCAAAGCCAGGATTCAAACCCAGGCAACCTGACTCCATGCTTTTTAACCACAGTGACGTTTTCCCCCTGGATGTGGCCCTGCTCAAGTTTTATGATTGGCTGTGCTCTGCCCTGTTCTGAGCCCTCATGATAGGAATGAGCTTCAGAAAAGACCACCCATCACATCCCCTGCTCCCCTGCCCCCATTAGTTCCTGCCCTTCTCGGACTCACAGCCAGGGAGCAGGTGTGTGTACCCCGTCGCTCCCTGGCAGCACCCCAGTACAGCTCACCTTCTGTGGGGTGCTGGCAGCCTTCCTCTCTTTCTTTCCCGGCTGGTGCCCTGGAACCCTGCTCCATCCTGGTTCCCTGGGGCCTGACACTTCTCCCAGAACCAAGCCTTAAGTTGTTGACCTCTTTGGAGCAGTGGGCCTCCCTTCCTGGTGGTCCCTGTGTCCCCTCCCCTCTGTCTCCCCCACCCTGTCTTATCAACTCCTAGCCCCAAGCCTTCACCCCTCTGTAGCCCCGGCACTGTGGGAGGAGGGAGAGAATCCCCTGGGTTTAGAGCATCCCAAAGAATAGCTCTGGAGGCTTCAGAAACACGGGGGAAACACCATACTTCAAGGCTGAGCCGGTGAGGCAGTGCCTCTACAGACACCAGGCCTGCGCAAGGCATAGGAGGGGTGAGAATGGAGAGACAGCTGCCAGAAGGAGCAGAGAGCTTCTCAACCACCCCAGCCCCAACCCACCGCACAATCAGGGCCTCGACAAAACCAGCCCTGGCTCTCTGCACCTCGTAGTCCTCTATGTTTAAATGGTGATGAGGAGAACTACCACGTAGGGTTGTCTTGTTAGAGATGATAGGGTTCCTGGCACATAGTAGGTGCTCAGTGTGGAAATGTCTCTTGCCTGGCTCCCCTTCACCAGCCAGCCCCTTCTCTGGGGAGGTTTCCTCTGTGATACGTGAAGTGATGGCACTGAATACTGGGCACATCCTACAGGTATTACCTCTGTCGCCACTGCCTGATCCTCCCCATCCCCAGAGATCAGAGGCCACAGAGGGCAGGGACCAGGCTGGACCCTCCTTGTCAGGTGTCTGGCAGGAGTATGCACAGCACGTCCTGGAGAATCAGGGGGTGATCATTGTTTGCTAATATGTGTGAGGAGTTACTGTCTAAGAAGCACCATTTCTCCCCTTTTCCTGTTAACTTCACTAAACCCATCCCATTTTGCCCTTACAACAGCCCCATGAGAGAGCCGTACCCCATTTCCCAGATGAGGCAGCTGACGATCTGGGATGAAGGGGCTGGTCAGGGTGACCTGCCAATCCGGGGGGAGTGGGCCAACCATGAGGGCCACCTCACTCAGGACGTCGTTGCCCACTGTGCACACCCTTTCATATGGTGCCCTTTGGGTCACTAGCTCATGCTTCCTCAGGGGACACAGTACTGCACGTGCTCCCCAGGTCTTCTGGGGAAGGGTGCTTTCGAGGGCACGTGGGAACTGAGGGTGTGTGGGGACTGAGGGCATGAGGGCATTGTCGGAGGCCTCTAGGTGAGACCAGGCAGGAAGGCCTCTCAAGAGCCCAGCCAACAGCCTGCATTGCTCCTTCTGAGGCCTGAAGAGACACAAATGAGGGTCTTGGGCTGCTCCCCCGGGTCAATATAGGCAGATTTCAAGGAAATGAACCACTTTTCCTTTCTTGTATGAACCACCTCAGTCCACATTGTCCTCTCCTCCTGGAAGCCTTCCCTGACTGTTGGCCTACCTCTTCTATGGGAGTCAGCAGATCTTGCACCTTTCTATGGACTTATTGGTATGCTTAAAGATAATTGTGATTACTTTTTTCTAGCTCCAAAAGTAATTTACAATCACTATAGAGAATTTAAATCAATAAAAATAACCAAATTAATACTAATAATCACCCCATTCAAATATAGCCAGTGGCCCGATGTATAACCTTCCATTGCATTTTCTATGTATTTACCTATAATGTAAATATATGCATTTCAGGGAGAAGATTATACTTTACATGCTGTTTTCTGATTTGCTCATTTAGTTAAAACTATGTCATAGCATCCTTCTCTATAATTAAATATTTTTTTCAACACACTTCGCTAATGCTTTCTTTTGTTTCTCTGCCCACTCTCATGTTATGCATGCGCTGGTTTGCTCCCTCAGTTATACTGTAAGCTCCTTAAGCATCCATATTCGCCAGTATGGTCTCAACTAGAGGACGGGCATGTTCATTGATTGACAGCCATGCAGGTTCATGGAAATGAGTGGGATAGAGGTGGACACATGGGTTGAGTGTTGGGTCTGCAAGCTTCTTAAATTTTCTTTCTTTCCTTCCCTTTTCTGACAGATGTTTTGTTAAATATTTTAGATATTTATGTAAATATACATTTATTTCAATACCATGGAAGTGTTTCTCTGGGTTAGACCCTTAGCCTGGTCCTGAGGATGTAGTGATGTGCATAGTAATAGGCCAGGTCCCTCCTCCCCTAGAATGTGTATCCAGCGGGGGACGCAGACCCACATTCGACCAACAGATGAAAAGTAAATAGCTGCCCAAGTAACCAAGAGATACATCTTCCTAATGATCTCATCCACCTCTGCCACCAGGCTGGTGAAGTGGCCCATTGGTACCAGGACAGGTGCCTTCACAAGTCACCTCTGGTGCAAGAGAGGCTCGTTCTCAGTGTTCTTTCTTCTTCCCACACTTTGTTGTGGCCCAGCATCCCTTGAGAAGACGGCAGAAACTGTTTCAATGGTACCATTTCCTCCTTTCTGTCATTGGCTTCTAATGAGGAGCTCTGGAGGTGTCACGTCCCATTTGCAGAGCAAACCACCCCTTTGTGGGTCTAGACCAGTGGTTGCCAGCCAGCTCTCTGGGACACCAAGAGAGGACCCTAAGCTGAGGGGCTCCTGCGAAAGGTGGGTTGGAGTGCTGTGCCAGGGATGGCTGGTTACAACTCTTCTGGGAGGACCCATGGAAGAGTGCTAGAAATGGTTACATTTGCCTTTCATCTTTAGTAATAGAACCCCTGATTTTTAGTTGGGTGCATGGCTGCCCAGAATAAAGACTAAATTTCCCAGCCTCCCTTGCCGTTAGGCATAGCCATAGAGCTTGTTTCTCATCAGTGGAATACAAGCATGGGTGTCCTGAATGAGTTCTTTGAAGAGTTCTTAAGAAGAGGGAAGGAGAGGACACCTCTTCCTTGTGCCTGCTAACTAGAAATGTAGGAGTGATGGCTGGCACTTAAGCAGCTATTTTGAACCATGAGGCAGAATGTAGAACAACAAGATATTGAAGGATGCTGGAAACTAGAGATTTCTCTTCTAGTCTTGAGCTGCCTCTCTCTAGACTTTTAGAATATAAAAGAAAAATACATTTCTGTTCATGTTTGGCTGTCAAATCCAACCTTAAGGAACACAGCTCCCTATATCAATGTGTGTCTGAAGCCAAAAGCCCTGTTGCCCTTTTATTCAATAATCATCTGCTTTGGAGGGCCATGATTTGTGCTAGGTACCAGAGGTGCAAAGACAAAAATAGCTTCCTATTTTTCATTAGATTAGTTTGATAGGGCTGACATAACAAAATACCTCAGACTGGGTGACTTAAAAAGAAATTTAATTTCTCCCAGTTCTGGAGCCTGAGATAGGTGTCAGCAAGTTTGATTTCTTCTGAGGCCTCTCTCCATAGCTTACAGGAGGCCACATGCTCACCGTCTTCACATGACTTTTCTCTGTGCATGTGAATCCCCAGTGTCTCTCTTCTTATGGGTTAGGGCCTTACCCTCATGTCCTCATTTAACTTAATAGCCTCTTTAAAGACTTTATCTCCAAATACAGTCACATTGCAAGGTACTGGGGGTCAGGGCTTCAACATATGAATCTGAAGGATCACTTTTCAGCCTACACCCCCAGTGAATAGACTTCAGTGGAAAAGGCCAACAGGAAATAAGCTTAGACTTATACTGAAGATAACCAACTAATTATTGTGTCTGGTGCAAGAGGTAAGAACAAAAAATTCCACATGTCAAAAGAGCCCTTGTCTTCATTTTCAAATGTAAGTGCATCCTCCGGTGCTTCTTGGGAGTCTTTTATGACTTGATCTGCTTTTGAGACAGTTAATAATTCCTCCTTGAAAGGTGCCCCTCATTTGGCTTCCTGTACCCCATTCTCCTGGATTGCCCCTTTCCCCCTGGCTGCTCCTCTCAGGCACATTTGCACCCTCTGTTCTGTAACCCTGCACTTTAGATAGTTGCAATATTCGCTTTTGGGCCTTGGTTCTTAGCTCTCTTTTCTCCCTACACATAAGTCCTTGGAGTGCTGCTTTGGTCTCTGAGACATCCATGTCCTCTTTATACGGACATCCCCTACTAAATGTTCCCTCCCCCTGGCCTCCGGACTGCTGCGTTTGGCCACCTCCACCACCCCTGCACTTGGGTGTCTAACCATCATCTCAAACTTCGTATTTTCCCTCAGGCCTCCCCATCTGTGCTTTTCTTCATCTTCATTAACGGAAGCTCCACCTTTTCAGTCACTCAGGCTATTGGACTCAGCCGACCTTGGACTCCCCTCGCTCACCCATGATGTCCAGTCCATCAGCAAAATATCATCCAGAATGTCCCCTCCTCTCCCTGCCCTGAGACCCCCACCTTGGGCCAGGCTGCCACCATTTCTTGCTGCTTTATTGCAACAGCCGTTGACTGGTCTTTCTGATCTGCCCTCGCCCCTCTACAGTCCAGTCTCCAAACAGAAGTGCGTAACTCTCTGCTTCAAAATGTCCAAAGGATTCTCATCCTTTTCAGAGTAAAGACCATGCGTCTGCGATGGTCTGTGATGCTACTTTGCTACTCCCTGATCACATCCTAATTCCCTCCATCCCATTTGTCCCGTCCCACCATCCTGCCCATTATTTCTCAGAC